ATCGGGCTTACGAGGATGAGGGAATTTCAAAGGGATGAACCGGTAATAATTCGGAGTCAATTAAAAACGATACATAACAGTTAACAGTTAACACAAAAGTCGATGAGATCAATACACTAGCAGTGATGTGGGAGTATGCGAGCCGGGGGGAACACGTGCTGCAAGTAAATTTCGTTGGGTTCAATCGGGAGGGTGTGTTTTACTCAACTGCTGACGGAGTCCAAAATCTCGGGTGCGGATTCCCTCACGCTTTCAGGGCAAATTTCTGAGGAAATTGAATTTCCAATGTTTTCACTAGGTGAAAGGTCGTCAATATATATGATATTGAGTGGACTTTTTCGTGATTGGACGCAGAGATTTTTCTTTAAATATCTCTGGAAAATTTTCGAGATTATTAAAAACTGCAAGAATTGCCAGAAAAATTGATTAGATTCGAGATCATAATTTTCTCAACTCAATGAATGTTCTGGTTTTTTGAGGAGAAAATGTTGAAGAACCGAGATTTAAGAATATCCAAATACTTTAGTAGTAGTTCTTCATTTTTTTACTACTGAATATTTCTCTCCGTGTGAAGGAGTTCATCCAAGGTCATTTGTGCAACATAGTCATCCTCTAGAGTAACATGATTGCCATAATTGAAACCTAATCAGGCTCCCTTAGAGTTAAATATCGCAGAAACTATGTACTATAAAATTTTACAAAAAATTCACCGTATTCGGAATTTATCAATCTACCACGGATTCGTTTTTGAACAACATAGTAAAAACTGTGTTCCCATAAGATGGAAAAATCTAGTTCGGGGGGACATATAACCACCATTTAGCCTGTGCCTAGTATTTATCGTCTTCTAAACTGTAAAGTATACTAATCTGTAAAGTTATTAGAATTTTTTTCAATAGCTGGGGAATATTAAAAACATTATCTATGAAAAACATGGGGACAACCGGAAGAAAACTCTGGTTTCTAGGAATATCCCTCAATTGAATAAATCCTTTTTCCTGAAATCGACGTCCATTAGTTACAATACTAACTGCAGCCAGAAGTTGGAATATTCCAACGACAACTATTTCATTTAGTAAATAGACTCGTAAGTACCCAACCAAATGTGATAAACCCCCGTATATTCCCTCCATTCCGGCGTCTTGAATCACCAAATGAAATCCAGTGAATTAGTATTCCATAATCGTTTGAGGATTGCACTTAATCCCCAGTAGTAGTTTGAAATGTAACGCAATCTCGTGGTGTGCCAGTATAGTACAACTCAGAGCATTCGCGCGTCTCAGCGTCTATCTTCACCGGCAATGTGTGATCCGATTGCATAACAAACTGAGAGAACCGCGCGAACACAGACGCCGTGTAGCGAGAGCCATTATACGACCGGTAGCACACGGTCAATCCAATGATCTTGAACTTTCCGTGTTGCATATACGACGCAAGCATATACATTGATAATTCCAGCAATATTCAAAACGTACAGGTTTACTCTGAGGATAGCATTTGCAATTTACATCTTTTGCGCCTATCACGCTACAACTAAGATATTTTAACGATATTGAGATATTTAAAAATAGAATTCAGTTGTGGTAGTAAATAATTCATAAATAAGGTTGTAAAAAGTTGAGTCAGTAGTGGAATTTGTTTGTTAACCGTGTTACGTCCCTAACAGATACAAACTGAAGGTCTAGTGGAAACACATTTATGCCATGAATAGAAATTAATCCGAACTTTTGGTAGAAAAAATGTTGTAGAATAATTTTTGATCATCGAAAGATTCTAGATTATACCTTCAGGCCCAACCGCACCAAGCACTGTTAAGCAAATAACCCCTGGGGTAAAATTTATTCTCCAAGTAAATTATATCCTACATACAAAAAACCTAAACGTAAACTGCGTTTTGCACGGTGCAATTTAGATTTCACTAAACGTAATTTATGTTCAACGCCAATATGACGCCTAATGGTTTTTTTTTGTCATTAAGAAATCGTAAATTACTATCTTAATAGAAACGCATTTTACGATTTACTTATGCGAAATTTGCGAAAAAACATCGTATTTTACTCAATTTTTACTCATGAGTTAATCAAATCTTTTCTACGGTAGTAAAAATATATAAAAATTTTAACTATATTTTGCACGTTATGCTGAAAAATAATGAAGTGATTTATTGGTTTCCGAAGAGTTGAAGGTGAACAACTTTTTCGGAGCTAAAAATAAATCGTAGTCATCCTCCAATTCTTTCGACTTCATCGGACGAACCTGATTACAATGTTGTGTTTCAGTTTCGACTGAATTACATTTCTTTCAATCACGAGTCTGACAGATACATTATCAGGACGAATGCATTTCCGAGTGTATCTGGCAACAATAACTCCAATATGATTTCATAATCCCTTTTCAGAGGAAATATTGACAATAAGACAATGTCCTGTTTTGGAACCTTTGTCCAAGTTTTAGAGATATTGAAGGGATGTCTCCCACAGGGGTTTCATTTGATCCACTGAAAGGATTAATATCCCTCGAGGGTTGGATCTATTTTAGACACCAAAAATCTATACTACAGCTGATAGGACGGATGAGATGGAAAAAGGAATGTTGAATACTTTCCTAGAAATCGCTACGAGGTGTATTTAGTTGGTAATCCGATACACATGGAAGTTCATATGGCTATCAATGCCAAATTAACAATTTGAACAAGTAAATCTAAACCAAAATACTAACCAAGAGAATTATTGCGTCGCCCGTGCATATAATACCCCTTAGCAGAAATCAGATTTTTCATTACACTGTCCGTAAAACGTCGTTTGGAAGCCAGAATTGAAAACTGAAAAAGTTTTTTTTTTTTTCAAATTTTCAAAGGGTCAGATTTTCCATTTTTCCCGGGGGAAAGTCGACTTTCGCCAAAATCGAATTTTTTAGCCGACTGAACGTTGATTCTAACTATTTAAGCGACGGGCTATTCAGAACTCTCAAAAGTATGTGGAAAAAGTGAAAACTGAAAAAGTATTTTTTTTCAGATTTTCAAAGGGTCAGATTTTCCATTTTTCCCGGGGGAAAGTCGACTTTCGCCAAAATCGAATTTTTTAGCCGACTGAACGTTGATTATAGCTATTTAAGCGGCGGGCTATTCAGCAATCTCAAAAGTATGTGGAAAAAGTGAAAACTGAAAGTTTTTTTTTTCAAATTTTCAAAGGGTCAGATTTTCCGTTTTTCCCGGCGGAAAGTCGACTTTCGCCAAAATCGAATTTTTTAGCCGACTGAACGTTGATTATAGCTATTTAAGCGGCGGGCTATTCAGCAATCTCAAAAGTATGTGGAAAAAGTGAAAACTGAAAAACAAAATTTTTCACCGGGGGCCACAAGGTCAGATTTTCGATTGTTACTTGGAACAAGGGTCAGATTTGTTAACAATTTCATTTTTTATTTGGACAATGCATGCAAGCGGAGGGACAAGAGTGGCTAGAATAGATTCTGCAACCTTCTCCCCTTGTTGGGTAAAAATTTCAAGCCTCCGCATACATGCATCTCCCCTCCACCCTCTCGTGAAATGTCGATTTTCGAGATTAAAAAAAAAACAATAATTGCATTTTTTATTTCAATAACGCATGAGTAAACAGGGATACGAACGCAGATTTAATATAGGCCCATAGAATTACGGGGACCGGCAAGGATTTGGAAAGTCTGAATACAAGTCCTGCTTACACCTAACAAGTGCTGAAATGGGACATAACCAGATGTAGAAAGGTCTCGGAAGCACTTGGGAAGAGGCTTCCCAAGACCTATCCATTTCTGAACGGAAAGGCCTAAGTAGAACTTGTCAGGTCCAATTATTCGACTCGGGTATATTTATTTTATAATACGGTAGGCAACGAGGTTTATATGACTATCAATGATAAATTGATAGTTAACTCCAGATCAAAATGTTAATGAGTGAAGGGGACCTTCCCTTCACCAGCAGAATGACTTGCTTCTTTCTTAGAATTCAAAATATTTGAATACATGTTACTTCCTCACAGAGAACGTTACATGATGAGCAATCAATAGACACGAAAACTATTCAATCTCATGAGAATTATTTACAATGGGAAGAACTGTAACTAGAGCAACCATTCGATAATTACTCACTATTCAATTCCGAGAGGAGGGTTTCAATTTAGGTTAGGAGTATAATATTTATCTCCACTTCTGAGTGTAGGAGTTGAGATAAGTGAAAGCCTATTCATCATCCGATATTCATGGAACGTGACCAGGTAACTCCATACCAAAACGTCAATGACTCTTTGTACCTCCAGCAGGCATTCATCACCATAGAAAGGGTCCTTTCATTTTGAGACTTGAAAATATTTGTGCACTAATTCCTCGTAGAAAATGTGATACAGAAAATTATCAATGAACTGGAAAAGTATTCCATTTCCTAAGAATCATTTACAATGAGAAGAACTGTAATTAGAGAAGCCCTGATAATTACAGTACACAAAGACATCATCGTCCTCAAATCAAATTTCCAAGCATCACCATGATATATAATCCAATGCATAATTGTGGATAAAATATTCCCCTAGTAACACTTTTCTCCCTTATTCCTCTCGTCGATAAAGAAACCAAATTGGAAGTACCATCATTACCTCCCGAATGCTAATGATCAAGAGAAACTGATTGAAAGAGAAGCGAAGAAATGAATATAACACAACGGAAGAGCATCCGCAGGATGCAATGAAGGTCAGGGATGTATGGCCAACCAGTAAAAGACGAATACCAACTAAGAACTTGATTTGAAAACCAATGCACAATCTGCTAGCTCATACCACACCATTAATTCACATAAGTAAAAAATTAATGGTTTCATCATGTACGTAGGCATTTAAATATTGACCGTTGGAGAGCAGAGGACAATAGAAAATGCACCGACATTTACATGATTCAGGTACAAACAAAACTCGATTTTACGTATTAGAGTCTGTCATCCATCCGCCCACATCCCGTGACTTGTGTCTTTATAATCTCCACTTGCAGCCACTGATATTCCAGATTTGCGCGTGAGACATCGCTCGACGAACAACCCATCTGCCCAGTGTGTTCGATTATTTATCGATATTATTGATTCTGTAAATATTTAAGTTGACTGTGTAAAACACGAGCGAAGTACAATAATGGCGAGACATGTAGTCTGCTGTTTTCTCCTTGGAGTGGCTATGCAAGCCCTCATTGTGTCTGCAGGGGTAAAAATCTGTTCTTTCATTCATAATTCGCACACAAAATGATCAGTGTATATCAGCAGTATAACTTCCCATAATTTTTTAAGCATGAATTATCCCAAAAAGGAAATATTTTACCCCAACCGGCGGATAATCTAGCCGTTTTCTGTGTAAATCAATCCTAAAACTGGGTTCAGTCATCATAAAATTGTGAAACATCTCAAAAGAAGACAAAATATACCAAAACAAAGGCGGATTTACACTGATCATTTTTTGTTGGCTGTGAATACAATCGTTACTCTATAGAGTTATGTCACTCCTTCCGAAATCTTTCATTTAGCGCCCGGATTTCATTACCGACGACATGATGGCAATGGTTGCGGATGATAAGGCGCGATGCATGGGGGAACATGGAACCACCGAAAGTAAGATTTACCCAGGTGGAAATTCGAATCAGCCTAGTCATGAACTGACCCATAAAACCGAGTATTGATCAGTCTAGGGTCATAAACGAAACGCTTGTTTGGTTTTAAGACCGGGATCTAATCCGGAATGTCTAATCAGGAAATCCTGACCACAATAGGACCATAACCTGGTCGAAAATCAGGCGACCGCAATCGAATACCCACTCAGGATTTGCTGCATCGATCGTGGTAAATTCAGTCGCATTAATTGGAAACATATTTTTTATAGCTCTCATCGATGAAGTGAATAATGGCGCTTTGCCAAATGATCGAGCTTTGACCTGCTACATGGACTGTCTCTTCGCAGCTTTCGGTGTCGTATGTATTTAAATCTTGTTATTATTTTCATGAGGAGTGAAATCAATGCTACTATTTTAGATTGACGAGGGAGAGCTTGAAGTAGACATGTTGGTTGGATTCCTCCCGGATCACATGCAGGATCAAGCGCGAGAACTTCTGGAGGCTTGTGCGAAACAGCGTAAAGAAACTTTTTCTGGGTCATATCTCCAAATGTGTAATCAATCTGAATACATCCACTGATTACCTTTGCTCTATTCACAGCTGGAGCAGATCCGTGTGACAAAGTCTTCAACATTGCTAAATGCGTACAGGCGAAACGACCAGATGTAAGACACAATCAATCTAATTTAGCATGAAACCATCAGATTTCACCTTCAATGTCTTCAAAACTTTTCAGCTGTGGTTCATGATCTGAGCTGGACAAGACGTAGAATCAAGAAGGCTGGGCGAGTTTGCAGATGAGAGAGTGTAGTCAATTAATTGAAAGTGGACATGTTAACACTCGGAGGATCGCAAGATCGGGGTGCAAGAGTACATAAAGAAAAAGAGACACTTCAACCAGGAATTATCGACAGTCAACGACCTCCAATTCCTTCAAACTCAGAGACAGCCAACCCATCGTTGAAGATTGTAATGTGTGTGCATGTCCTTCGATGCATGAATGCGTGATACCGGTGACAGGCAACGAAAATTTATTAGAACAATCATTAAGGTGATCTGTTCAAGGCTTAACATACTTAATCAATGATGAAACAATGGATAGTATTATTGCAATAAAATACAAATTTATGCAGACGAACTTTACGCGACGGCAGATGAACTTCTTTCACCTTGGAAAATTCAAAAGCCCGTTTAATCATTTCGCACGTCAGAATCAGTTATGGATATCACGGTGTCCTATGCGAATGCTCTCATGAAAATTAATTGCCTGAAGTTTCCTCCGTGCTAGACGCATTTTCATATTTCCAATTCTACTTCAAATAACTTTGAAACTCTTCAACAACACCGGCAACGTGCCAGGCTTTTTCGAAATTGTAACGTTTTAAATTAAAACTCAAATTACAGTGGAAGAATACTTCGTTTTTATAGCCTACGATAGGGGACGACTGGCGATAAAATAGATGCAGCACTGCCAACTTCATTCTGTCCGTTTCGAAATGATAGCGGAGTAGAATAGAAACTTTGAGATCGTTGTAATTAACTTTATTACTTGACATTCATCGTATGAAGAAGTAGTAGAAGTTTCGATGTTTTCACTCAAAGCGCAACTTCCATATTTGGACACATTTTCAGTTACATGACATTACAGAGATATTAGAATGAATACTGCATGAGCTTTAAATTTCATTACTCGATGAGGTATTCATTCTTCGGTAAGTATATTAAATAATGCAAATTCAGGGAATATCTTGCTGGTGGGAAAGGAGGAGGAGCTGTGGTTTATTAAGCGTTAAATATGTACCTACGAGAAATGTTGTGTGAAATAGGTGGTTGTAGGTTTGTTCAGAGGCCACCGGGGTTTCCGAAAATTAATGAATACTCCCGTATTAAATTATACGCTAGCACGGTCGATATAATTGAGTTTCTGTTAAAGATTAGATGCTAATCTGATTGATAATCACTAGGGTGCGTTTATCAAGTTAAGCTATGCATGCTGGTGTAGACTACTGGATTAATGAGTCGAGGGAATTTCAGTGAATGGGGGGTCTAACATACATCAGACGACATTTGCGCTCATTGAATAGATGATTTTCATTTTGCGCCATAAATTCACTATCCAATAAGATTGAAAGGTCGATTTATGGGGGCAAATTTGATTTTAACGTCTTCTCAATGGCATTTTTTTTGCTAACACAAATAATGTATCACAGAGAAAAGTTTGTGCTTGAAATATGGAATTATTCGATGCTGAGTATCCATATTTCCAATGGATCCAATGAGTTTAAATTTTATGATCATCACTGACAATCATTGGATCATTAATTTTTCTCTGTATGACATGTCTACATATGACTCTGTACCTTAAGATCGATAGAGTGAATAGCAGCAGAGTTTGGAGAAGGATCTTTCGTAGGTGCTCTCTTTGTAACAGTGTTGTTAACATTTGGCAGAGATCCTCCACCCGTGTACTGATTTCCCAGGTTAATGTGAAGATGTTTACTGCCACTAGACTGGGGTGGACTAGCACCAGCACTCTTGACGGACAGAGTCTCTGGGACACCACCAGTGCCAGTAGGACTCGTACCAACTGAACTGCTTGCTGACGCCACCTAAGCAATTTCATCAACACCACGTTTTTGCTTTTCCCAAATTATCCATTTTATGTTAAGATCTAATTGTGGGGAGTGAGTCATGCATTGTAAATCATAAATGTGATGGCGGTAAAAAGAAAAACCGATCTATCCTCGTCCGAGTTGGGCCCATTCGAATCGTTGGATGTTTTTTATTTTTGCAATTGCAATATTCAACTTTTTACGTTTACTTTTTAGAAATTTCCAAGACTTTTATCGGAAATTCTTTGAAAACTACGCAATAGTTGCACTTAAATTCTCAATATTGTGAATTTGAATTCAATTTAAGATTAAATCGTTCATGGAATCCCTCATTCAGGTTGGAAATTCAGGATAATTGGGGTTTTCAGGTTAGATTATCACTGATATTTCAATGACATCTAAAATTTTCAAATTCATTGCCGAAATTGAACATCACATCCAACTGAATTATCAGTGAATTAAAAATTCAGCGAAATCGTTGCTTGAATTTTCAAATTATTTAATAATTTTCATTATCATGTGGACCTGAAAACTGCTATTCCATTGAATACTCCAGAATTCAACTGATTTTTTCGGTTGCGATTCATGTTTCGCCACAATGAACCCTCCCCTGATACGATTCTCCGGCATTTCGGTACACTCGCTATCTATTCCTCAGTATTTCGAGGTCGTTCCTTATCGCTGAATAGACGGTTACTGAAATGCGCACGTCAAAGAGATGAATTTTGAGGTGAATTTTTTTTAAAAAGTAAACTCAAACAATATTAACTGAGATTAAGTTGAAAAAATGGAATCATGGAATAACAATTATTAATATGGCTTCTGTCTCATCAATTTTGGCGTTTTATTTTCCACGATCAAATTTTTCGAGCCACACGTGCGAATAGAGTCATTTCTAAAACCTTTCAGTGTATACGCACATTTTTACATTCGACGTTTTATACACGTGGACTCGCTAACACAATAAAATCGTTCCAATGCGACGATAACGTTTTATTGTTGTACCGAGTAACAACCCATCTAAGAGGAGAAAACTTGAACGCGAGGAGCTTAATTCCAAATTTCGGTTTTGAAGAGGCGATCGTTACGTCAGCAGCAATTGTCAACACAAAAAAAATGATTCATTTGAATTAAATAAAACTTATCTGAATGAAATGAGCAGGAAATTCATCAATATCAAAGAAATATTTTCTCATGGATATGCAAATCGTCGTGATACGACGATTAATGTCGTCAATTAGAAATAAAATAATGTTTCAGACAACGAAGAGATCAGAGAAATAAATGGGATTGAATCAATCATTCATCTGATTGTCACAGAGGATTTATTGGGAACGAATGAATTATTCATTTCGTAGAATTAAAATATTTTCATTGAAATGAATATATGAGTTTATTCACTTCAAATTGACGATTTTTCTTTGATTTGAACGCCTTTTTTTTGTCTTGCAGAATGAATTTGTAATGGAAATCGTACTCTTCCCGGCAGACGTTCTGGGCAAAAGAAAAATCGATTTATGCCAATCAAATATGTTTGAAATAACTAAATGCTGCATTTGACCGCAGAGAAAAAAATTTAATAATTTTTAAGTATGTGTGACGAAGCGATCAGCATTCATTAACACATAATGAGCTTTTTGAATTCCCAGGAACATTGGTATTCCCATTTCAAATGTTAATCGTTTATGAATCAGCCAATGGAATGGAAAGATTGGAAAACTTGTTGTGGCCACTATGTAAATACTCGTATACCGTTAATCGGCTCAAGAAACATAGCCCCGGGAAATAGAAATTCCACGATTTGTTTCACATTGTGTCCACAAAAATGATGAAATCTTGAGATTTTGTTTCAACCTATAGATTAGCTTCCTTAATTCTTCTATAAATACTATTCAATTTCGATTCATGTGAATGGCATTCATGTTCAGCATTCCTACATTTTTCTTACATGAATAATTCTATTGATTGTGGACATTACAATCATCCGTTCAATAGTAAATTGACGGATTGAGTAGCATTCAATTGTGTTCAGAATTTAAAAAAAATTACAAGAATTCTCTTCTTATCTTTGAGTATTGAAGAGGCGAATTGAAGAACTGCTGTCCCTTCTTTCACACGGAACGAACATTTTTTCGGGAGCAAAAAATGCATGGCAGTGCAAAATAACGAATGGGCCGTGCTAGAAATGAGGTTTCAAACTGGCACAGAATGCAGCAATTTTTTGGAACAACTGAATCTATTTTTGCGATAATAATTTTTCATCTCAGGACACTCTTGAAATGTTCTACACGAGATAGTTTATTCTTGGTAATTTTCAACTTGAAATTTTCTTGGTTCAAACAAGCCGTGTTTGAGAGCATGTGTTTTTCTCCTACACTGAGAGTAAAACAGGGGAATTCTCAAAGAAGTCTTACTTGTGCCAAAAAAATCGTTTGTCAAAATTTATCAAAAAAGGATTTTTTGTGCCAAATATGCAAAGCGTGCGCGGACATTAAAAAATTTTATTGCAAAAACAGATTTAGTCTTTTAAAAAAAAATGTATTCTCTGCGCAACTAAGAAATGTAATTTCTAGCACTACTTCTTCGTTACTCCTTGTTCCCATACGTATTTTCCTCCCGGCAAATGCTCATTTTATATGAAACGAGGGATAGTAGTTTGTCGTTTCGGGTATTCAATAATCGCAGATAAAGAATGAATTCTTAAATGAAATAATAATAATTATATAACAGCAATCTTGTAACTTAGGGACAAAATATTTCTTGATAAAAAAACTTCCGTCTATAAAATATATTTTTTTCCTGAAAAGGCATCGTCTTGTATGAATGATCCGCCTCTTGAGCCAAATATTTCATTGTTGTTGAGAGCAGAGCAATTATTCATGTTTGAGACTTTTAAATTCGAAGCAAACAATTATTTTTTGTTCATTTTCAACTAACGATTTTGTTCATCCAAATAAGACTTGCTTGAGAACTTGTTCGTTTTTCTCTCAGTGTAGAGTGGAATTTAGTTAAAAATCAAGGCAACACTGTTAGAAATCTTCGTCTGAATTTTCCGTGTCAAATTCCGGAAATTTTCATCGTCTTCAAATTCCACTGAAATTTCAGAAAATCTTGTCAACTCAAATATTCCATTGATTTTCTATTCAAACGATCTGGAAATCAATAAAATACTTGATTTTTCCGTTCAATTATTCTATGAAAATTCAGAAAAATTCACGGAAAAATTGAAAATTCATGTCATTTTGTTTCTGAATATTCATATTCCACTGAAAATTCAATCAAGTTCTAAAATTTCCATCTTACTCCCACTGAAAACTCATGAATTTCCGTTAATTCTACCTAAAACTTGAAACTTGAAATTTCATAACCATTTTTTCCCTAAATTCGATTCAATATCACTCTCATGAGATTTACTATAATATCTTCTATGAAATTTCTAAAAATTTCAAACAACGAACACCGATAGGCAACACGCTAATGAAATAATACTAAATACGGACTCAATTTTTCATCATTTTTTCCATTTTCACGTAGATTCATTCATCCTATTCACTATCTCATTATAAAAATAAATGGAAAAATAAATGAACACATTTCTCAAAAATTCAATCAGCAGAGAGTGAAATCTGAGTTACAATAATTGCATTCTCCGCTCCAATTCAATTTTCCCCAAAACAAAGAAAAGGCAAATGAAAAAAGCTGTTTACATCTCTTCACGTGAAGCGATGCCGAGTAACACCGAAATGAATTCAGAAATTCAAATGAGGCCACGACGAATGTGATAATGAGACGCCCAACTTCAACATCACGAGTTAGAATTTTGCCATTTCGTATCCACGCTCGATGATCATTATTCAGTTCTCATTATAATTTTTACAGAAACTGAGAAAAAGAAAATAATAAATAATGTAGGTTCAATGGCTAAATGGAAACGTGAGGGAAAAAGAAAACAAAAAAATTCCGGATTCTCTCACGTTTGTGGAGATTCTGTCCTCGAGATACGCGTGGCTGATAAGGGAGTACAGGCGTGCGCTCGGCAGATACTTATTCATGCCTGAGAATATTTCCCTACACTTGTGTAAAGAATGTAACTCAAAATACTTATAATCGTCATTGAACGGGTATCAAGAAATATAATTGTACAGGGAATAATTATTCCGCACGTTCATATCAATGTTAACAGTTGAAATGATTTTTTATCGGTTAAAATGCGATATAACGGTCGATTTAACCCGTTTCACGAGAGGAAAACACGTGTTTTCGTAAACAAAACTTACTCAAGACGAATTACGCAAAAGGAATTAATTGCGAGCAAATATTGATGAAATAAACGATAAAAAGGTACCAAAATGCAAAATTGGATTAATTTTTTATTGCAGTAGAATTGAGAATGAAAAATAAAAGCGTGGGCTTTACTAAATAAAATTTCAACGAAGTAATCTAAATACAAATGAAACCACAAAAATCACAAAATGAATCAAATATTGGTGAAAAAAAGAAAAAAATGGTACTAAAATACAAAATTGGATTAATTTTCCACTGTAGCAAAATTAAGAATGAAAAATAAAACCGTGGGCTTCATTAAATAAAATTTTAACGAAGTAATCTGAACACAAATAAAACTACCATGATTTTAAAAAACTTCTCGAAATTGTCAATGAATCAATATCATCGAATAATACGATGCGTCGGCATATTTATCGAGAAGTGATATCAATGTGAACACTTGAATAAAAAATGTTATCAGCTAAATTTTTGGGTAGAGGAAATTTGACCCATTTTGCATGATTACACAATTTTTTCATTAAGACTCGAAAGTGAACGAACAGATGGAACAGACGAAACAAAAATTCAACGATTAATGGGATTGAAGGAAAAAAATGACCAAATTATGAATTGACTAAACTGTCCAGTGAATTTGGTTTAAAAATCTACCTAAAATTAAATGAAACTATGACTTTTCCAAATAAAAACAACAAAACATTTCCCACTCAATTTCATTCCCGATTACGAAAGGAACTCCTTAATTAAACTCATGGCTTAAGAGAAGTGAGACGAATCAAATCGACGTAAATGTTTCAACTCAATTTTCATCAGTAAATATTTCACAGCAGAAAAAATAGTTTTGTGAAATTTGTTTCCAGAGAAATATCAACCTATTGCACATAATTGAAAGAGGATATTTTTTCACAAACGATAAATAGCCACCAGACATGAACAAAATGAATGCAATTCACCCAAGAGATGAAACAAACGAAATAAAAACCCAATCATCGATTAAAAAAATCAACCAAATGAAAAAATCAACGGATCTTTCCCCAGAAGTTGAATTAAAAACGGACTTAAAATCTAAAAAATGACGTTTCCCAGCAAAAAATCCCCCGTGAAGTTTTCCATGCGCTTCACTCCCCCGCCGCCGAAGAATCTCCCCAACCGATCAATACCCCATAAATATCGCCTCGAAAATCGTTGAATAAAAAATGTCAAACAATCTCAAAGCCCTCAAACATAACTCTTTCCCTCCCCATTTTTCGAGTGTCACTCAACCCTCTCCCTGCCTATTACATCTATAAATACAAGAGTGTGTATACGAATCTCAAAAAGAAATGGAAAAAAGCAAGTCGTCTCTGTTGTAGCTCCTCGAGGCCATTGGCAGTAAAACACGGCCGTTAGAATCCTCAGTATCCGGTTAAATACCATCCCACGAAATACCAGAAAATGAAAACATACCAGTGGCCCTCCCCTTCCCATTAACCATAAAAAAAAATGCTGTTGCCCCTCGGGGGTCACTCTCATCCGATGTTCGCCAGACTCTCGACAATTTCCCGCCCATAATTACAATTATTCCCACTCCCAACCGACGACAAAAAAGTGAAAAAAAAATTCATAAACCGTCTGCACGCAGCTGCTAATACAGAAAAAAAATGAGAACAGAGAGATGAAGGGTGGGGGAGGGAAAAATTCCTCACACATTTGGATTAACTCTCATGCACGTTAACTCCGTGTGACTCTTAAAATATACACGAGGAAGTGTATGCACACGTCCGGGCTTTCACGTATGTTTACGTTGCCTCGGCCGTCGGCAGAGAGGACCGAATCCCTCTTCCCACCGAAATTGTTTAATAAAATAATACAAGAACCACGTGTAAATGTGCAAAGGGCTAAACTGAAAATAATAACAAACCAAAGAGTAATTTATCACTGGTAACAACACCATGACATTACAAAAAACTAGGTTAATCATTAATTTCATCTCGACGAGGCCAAGAATGTGGAATCCTTACCCGACTCGTGACATCCGAAACCTCACGCATAATAGCTTCAAAAGCAGCCGTCTCCTCTGCCTGTTTCTGGTTGAGGAGGGCGATCTTTTCACTGAATTTCCGTGGGTTCGCCATGATGGCCACCGCACAAGATACAGACCAAAAATATTTTCCCAAAAAAAAAGATAATTCGCCAACAAGAGCCAAATCAATTCCCCTCAACACCTGAAATTATCCCTAAATATTCAACTTTCTGTCGTCACAGCAGCTCAATTATTCACCGGGTGAGGTTAATTATTCATTCAACTCGAAAAAGTCACACCAAAAAACCACCACTGCTCGTGAGACCGATACCTCCTCCCCACTGCACACACCGTGTTTTTTTTCCTCGCCACCTTCCACCTCTTTATTTTTCTCACTCAACTTCCACCCGCCCGAGCTCCAAAATATTGCTCCCCTCGTATCGATGAAAATTCCGACAATCGTGGAAACAAAGTGTAACGAATACTCCGAATCAACCAGAAAAGCCAGAACCCCGTTTCCCCACGTCACTTGCACTACCCCTTTGTTCCAACAATCACTCAGGGTAAAACAACCCGAAATGTTTACACTGTGACATTTTCACTGATAAATCACTCCACCGACGAATAACCATGTCGCCCCAAATTTCATGGTAAACATTTGCCTCCAAACCCGTAGTTCCCCCATGTACTCACTTATTCCACAGACTCTCCACGTTTGTTTATTTCTCAAAACCGATGATTCTCAGTTTTACAGATATTACCCAACACCCATTGACACTGAATAACACAAATTCGTTCACCACAATGTACTCACTCCTTTATTTATTTATTTTTTTAGAGGGAAAACACGACTGACTCTACGATTGACTGACGGTCACTGATACGCAAGATTATGCGGCGCAGAGCGCCACGCGCATCGCGCAGAAACTGATGTTTTTTGTGGAGCCATTGGGGATCCGTATCACTACACAGGGATTGACTGCAACTCTTTTTTTTTTTTTCAACAATTCCAAAGCGTTAAAGATTTTTCCCCTCTGTTTATCACTCCGTTCGCGTGATTTATTTGGATTGAAAACTCAATGTTTTTTTTATCGCGAGCGGGAGCTCGCACTTTGACACGATGCTTTATCCCAGTCTCTTCCTCGCGAGGAGGGGATGACTGATGGCGGGGCGGCAGGGGAGGGGGCACCACTTGGTTTAAGATTACCCTGGCGGAGGTTATTTTAGCGTTGAATATGGGTCTGAATCTTGCGTGTTGTATTTAGAAGGGAGCAGGGATGAGCAGTGCATTGCGCGCGCGACGATGACAGACTGAGGAAGCCCGCCCATTCCTATTTCTCAGCTGATGGTGCCATAGCCTGTTTTACCGACTCAATACGGAGGTTTGAGCGGGAAGTCAGCGGCCATTTCGAAGAATTTTTTCATCGAATCACGTTCACCTTCGGCTTTTGAATATGATTATGAGATGTTGTAAACAAGTGGGTGTGAAAGTGGGGATAATTTGAGGAGGATATTAATTGGAATTAGCGTGGGGTGCGGGCGGTTGAGTTGGGGATAGAATTCTTGGGAGGAAAGGGAGAAACGCATTTCAGTGGGTAAATTACTTGTATAATGCACTCTGGCCTTGAGGATTTTTCCTCGTTTGTATTATCTGGGATATTTGTCATTTTACGGTGGCACGTCCGCTGAGGCAAGTGGAACTGCCACTGGTGCAATCGCACGGCCTAGCGCGAGTATTTTTGATGTTTAAGATTTTTTTATGTTTGATTGTGGGTGGAACCGTTGATTCTTGGGATGTACAAATTCTGCGAAGACTTGGATCTCGAGGAATTGCCGGCTACGGTGTATAGGGAGCTAGTGGATGAGCTGAATGTTGATGATAATTGGGTTCGTTTGGGGAATTACGTAGCGGAGCGGCTGGAACTCGGGTAAATCAGTTTGAGTTGAGTTACGCTGTTGGAAGTTTTTTTGAAATTTCATGGAAGATGTAGTGAATCTCATGAGAGTGACATTGAATCGGATTTAGGGAAAAACATTTATGGAATTTCAAGTTTTAAGGTGTTTCGTGTGAACAGTCAAAATAATGAAAAATATTTGGAAAATTCATGGAAGAAACTTTTGAGTATGCTGCATCATTGAGAATTTTTGGACTTTTTTTCGGATCTGAGTCTCACAATTCTTAATGTTAATGTCTAGAGGGGTTCCCCTTAAGTAGAATTCACGGAAATTCATGATTTTTTAGTGGGAGTGAACTGGAAATTTCACAACTTGATTGAATTTTCAGTGGAACATGAATATTCAGAAACAGAATGACATGAATTTCCAATTTTTCCCTGAATTTTCCTGATTTTTATGCATTTCTACAGAATAATTGAACTGAAAAATCAAGTATTTTATTGATTTCCAGATCATTTGAACAGAAAATCAATGGAATATTTGATTTTTCAATGACAAGATTTCCTGAAATGTCAGTGGGACTTGAACACGATAAAAATGTTCGGAATTCGGCACGAAAAATTCAGACGAAAATTTTTAACAGTGTAGTTTTGTAGTGGGGCTGGTTGAGGACGAATAATTAAGGTAGAATTGTGCAGGCCAGGATGGCTGAAGTCTCTGAGGGGCAGGGGAGCCAACAGGGGACCAGAATCGCCAGCTGATAATTTATTGTATCAATTGAGCATTAGAATGTGCACGGTGGGAATCTTGGGTGATTTGATGGAGGATTGCGGACTTTTGAGGGCATTATCGACGTTGAGAGAGACAGGTATTTATCTCAGATCCTCTAATTAAAACTAAATGACACATTTTCGGTCAGAAATATTTTTCGCCAAGCTCATGCTAGACTTGGGGATATTTCATGTTTATCTTACCTTAAAAAATTTCTTTCTCAAGATCTTTTTGGTTTTTGAACAGGTGTTTTTCTATATTTTTTAATACTAAAAGATTATTGCTTATAGAATGATTTTTGAATTTTTTGATTTTGAAATATGTAATAATAATGATAATAATGAACGGTAATTATTTTTATATTAAAAAAAATGAAAATTTCTCAAATTATAATGATTTTGATATGAAAGAAAATCTTTAATCAATAAGAAATCTGAGACACTAATTTATTCACTTTAATGTTTTGTTTATATTTCATGTAGGATACTAAAATATTTTTATCCCTTTTTTTAATTAGGGGTCGAAAAGTTCGGTTGTCGACAAGAGTTCTAGTTATTTAATTATTCGTTTTTAGGCATATATAATCGATTTTTAGAAATCGTATTCCAATGGCCCGCAACTCATTCAATTACAGAACCTTTGACCATCACCAGACATCCAAATTTCCCCTGCCAAGAAGTCAAAGTATCCGTGGGTAAAAAAATCCAGTTGATCTGTGAAGCAACAGGCCTCCCACCTGCCTCCTATGCCTGGTACCACGGCGATTCAATCCTGAATGAAGTAGCGAAAGAACTGAACTTGGAAATAACTAAAGAGGACCAGGAGGGTGAATACAGGTGTTTAGTGTCTCAAGTTGGCCTCGAGGGGAAAATTCTAGATCAACTGCTCTCCGAATCGGTTTATGTCACCGTCAACCCAACTCCAGTTGTCGTTGAATGCCAGCCGTTACCATTCGTAGAAATTAAAAAGGGGAAATCCCTGGTTTTATCCTGCAAAGTCAAGAGTCACCCAGAACCGATTTATCAGTGGTTTAGAGATAATACGAAATTAGAGATGCAGACGTCGAGTGTACTGAAAGTATGGGAGAATTTTTTTCAATTATTTTGGAATTAATTTTAAAAATTTTCCTAGTTTATCTTGGGAATGAATTATTTTAGAAGGAAATGTCGAGAGACCTTTTTTATTACTGAGGAAATTTCCTCCAATGACAAGTTTAGGTGAAATTTATAGATATTCTTTTGTGGATGAATAAATCAATTTTTTGAATCTTCAATGGAATTCCATTTTCTAGTCTATATCACGATGAAAATTCACAAAAATAAACAAAATAAAAAACGAACGTTACATCCAATCTATTGAAAAATCAATTGAATGTAATATTCAATTTTCACTATGAGAAATCAATGAAAGATACAATTTCTTTGAATTTTTTAAATTCAATGAAAAATTTCATGAAAAATTTGATCTTGAATTACATTAAAATTCACAAAATTAGGAATTCAAATGCAACTATGCCTTTTCATTGTCAAATTACCAAAAAATGTGACAATGAAAATCCAAAAAATTAACTCCCCACTAAAAATATTACTTTATCTATTAATTTATATTTAATTCTGTAGATTGACAATTTCAACTCAAACGACGAGGGGAAATATTATTGTTACATTAAAAATAAAGTCAGCGAAGTCTACACTGAAAGATCCACTGTTATTGTAAGTAAAAATGCACTTCAGAAGTTAATTCTATGAAATCATTATTCACTTTTTTAAAATTAATTAAAAAAATTGTATTCACTTTGATTTTCTCGGTTGTAATATCTCAAGAGTCTCAAAATTATCGAATATCTCCCGATAGTTTTGTTGGAGAGCACCAAGGAATAGTTTTCCAATTTTTTTTATTGCAAAAGTTGTTGAGATCCAGGAAAACTTGAGGGAAATATCCGATGAATTTTGAACGTGAGGGGTATTCGGAGGATAATTCCTCCAATTCTGAAATTATCAGCGTGAGACGTGTCACGTGACTCCGAATACTGCAGCCTGATTGGTTGAAATGGGAATGGAGGAAATAATCACGATAAAACTTTCCAGATGGAGATACCGAGGGAAAAGGCAACAGCAAAAATCGCGTTATTAATTGCCAACGAGGATTATGACCATCACGACAGACTCAAGACACCCAAGAATGACGTTGCAAAGCTCGCCAAGTTGCTGGAGGAAATTGGATTCAATGTTATTTGCTTCGCTAATCTGAATATTCAACAGATGAAAAATGCCATGTCTATTTTTGCTGCAGCTTTGTCCGAAGGAGCTTATGGTAATGAAAGTAAATCAACAATATCATCATTTTTTATTTAAATTTATTTTTCTTCTCTTGTCAGGACTGTTCTATTTCGCTGGCCATGGCTTCAAGATGCAGGAAAGCTACGTGTTATCCGTGGATGCACCGAAAACGTTTCTGAGAAGCGACGCAATTTGCGAGAGTGAGATATTATCAATTATGATGTCGAAAGATCCTGCACTTCTGGCTGTCATTCTTGATACGTGTCAAACAGTTCCTCCAAAGTGAGTTTTAGAAATGTTGCAATGAGTTTAAACTGCACTCAATTAAGGAATTTATGCCTGAGTTATGAATATTTTTAAGAAAGCCAAAAGCGTTCACTCCGACCTCATTCTCTCCTACTCTTAAAGTATTCATTGATGAGGAAACAGGAAATTTGATTTCATATTGTGATCCATATTTGATTCCAGAGAATCAAATCCAGATATTCACAGAGAAATACCGAGAGTGAATGAGTACAGGAGCAGGAAGAACTTGAGGAATTTAATTCAAGCTTATTCAACGTCCAGCCATCGTCCTAGTTACGAAAGATCCAGCAATGAGAATGGACTGTATGTTACTCATCTCAGTAAATTCATTACGAAGGATATTCCTGTGCAGAAGGTCTTCGAGCAAGTCGGGAGATGTAATTTTTGCACGAGTTTTTATGCTGAATAATTAACACTGCTTTGAATTTCCAACTGAAATTTCTGAAATTTCTGAACATTCAGAATTCAAGGAGTTCATGACTTTCCAGAGAATCAGAATAAAAGGGAACTGAATTTTCCAAGGGTATCGAATAAAGTCGAGCGCGGTAACATGAATACTTGGCATGAATGCTATCCTTTCTGGGCTTCAAAAATTGCCTGATATTGCCATGAAATTTTATTACTTTACTGGAAAGAATGCGAATTGACGCGGAATATTTCAGAATAATGGAAGTTTCCGTCGTAAAGAATATCAATACTGCTTCGAAAATTAACCGCTAAAACCATGAAATTTCTGAAAAAAAAATATCAGTACTTTCTGACCCATTCAACATGAATATTCAATGCTCCACGGAAAATGTTGGACTCCATATTCTATTTGTTGTAAGTTTCCCTTCGAATTCTAAAAATCTTTGTTGCAAAATTCAAAGAAAATTCTCAACAGTGTTCAATTGTGCTTGTCCTCAACTCCTTGAATTAATTCTCATTCTCCTTTTCTTTATTTTCCACAGCTATAGACACGTGGTTCAAAGGAAGAGAGCGAAATCAAATTCCAATGTTTGCATTGACTGTGACAAAACCATATCGACTGACTGATGGAATTTATGCCAGTAATTATCTAAAAATACGATGGATTATCTGAATTGAAATTGTTTTATTCCCCTTGAAACACTGCTTTCAATAATCATTTCAGAAAATTCGTCTCTGGAGCCTTCAAAATTGGACCAATTATTCAGCTTCCCCTCGAAAAAAATTGAAATTTCATTCCAACAAAGTGGAATCAACTGCCAGGTTCACATATCCCCCTACCTCAAGCCCTTCTGCAACATTATAAAACTTTCATTTCATGTAGTCGACGGTTTATCAGTCAGCCTCTACAATTTGGTCCCAATAGAGCCCAACAATTTATTCCGAACGAAAAACAATGAATTCTGGATTCATAATCCCCAAAGGAACAAAGTAAGTTTGGTACAATGAATCATGCTGTTGTAATGAAATAAAAAGGATAACTGAGAACTTTTATTTATGGTTTCTATTATTCTCAGGGCCCCCTGGCGATATTCATCGAACGAGATGGGAATCGAGTGGGCGCCTCAGCCCTCAAGTTAATGGACTACGTACCTAAGATCCTTCAAAGCTTATGAACATTCTTGAAAATATTTTTTCTGCACTGTTTCTCACGATTCCTCGTTTTAGAATTGGTATTGTATACTTCCTAAACTCGGAAATTTGAAAATTATTGCAAAAAAATATTGTACCGGACAGTCCACGCACGAAAAAATTTAATCGAAAAACCTATCGAATTCGTTAGAAAATTCTATTGAATTTCTGTTAAACTTTTGTGGAGAATTATGCACTGAGAGAAAAACAACAGAGTTCTCAAACAAGTCTTACTTGTGCCAAATAAATCGTTTGTTAAGAATTATCAAAAAAGGATTTGACCGTCAATTTGCAACTATATAGACGATTTTTGGTTATTACCAGTTATTTTTGTCACTCACATCTCTATATTTTACCGGTGTGGTTGGTCAGTTCACAACTCGACACGAGTAAAAAATCGGAAAAATACTATTGTTATATTCGAGATAATAATGAAAACGTGGAGAGAAAATTTTCAAACAAAAATGTATTTTACAATTCGTCAAACAGGAGAGTTTCGAAGTGTTTTTAACGTAAATTATTACCATCCTCATTGGCTCTAAGTATTAAAAACAGCGGATTATTTCTGGAAGAATCAGAGAATTATAAGATTACTTTCAGTAGAAAATTAGAGGAAGTAAAAAACATGAATTTTCAATAATTTTCTAATTGAAATAATTGAGAGTTGCTGACTTACGTATGCCAAGAGCATGACTTCGTTACACAAATTAACGATCCAAGGTTCATCATTGCCATTGGTATAATCTTTGATAAATCTATAATTCGCGAGGAATATTTTGTCTCGATACTCTGGCATCAGTCCCATTTGTAACGGAGGGTTGATATTTTTTTCTCTCATTTCTGCCAAACCTCTCAGGGAATAATATACCATGAGTATCTCAGCGTAAGCCTTCTTGTTATCTAAAATGAAACGAATTATGAAATTAATGAGATATCATCAGCTTTATTTATGTAAATAAATGACACAATTATTTGGCCTTACCTCCTTCTCCTTCATATAGCATATTCATTGTGTAAGGAAACTGTCCATAAATATCTTCTTTTCTAATAGCAATGAGTTCTTTTTGCGAGGGCGTTAGTGTACAAATTTTCTGTCTCAATTGCTGGATAACTTCAGGGGTGACAAGTCCCTCCAGGGCCTCATAGTTCTCTTTGCTCAGAAAATGGGACACTGTTTCAACTGCCTAAACAAAAATGTCAGCAAGAAATCAGACGAGAAGTGGACAATTCCATTTTGGAGGGAAATAGTTACTGAAACTTTTAGTAAAAAATCATGACACATTCGTTAGGGAAGTCTATTGAACATTTTATCGGTTTTTCCCGGATTTTCTTGAGACGTTCCGCAGATTTTCTGCGCGTTCTTTTGAGTAGAAAAACATTCAACAGAAAATAGCCTATAAAACCGTATTATTGGAAAAAAAATTTTTTTGCTTCTTGAATTCATTTTTCCTCGTTACACTCATCGACTCAATTGGAGTTTATTCATCCTACTTCTACAGAACTTGATGAATCCAGTCAACAGCAATTGCTCGCTCCCCTCCCAAACAAATCCCAAAATCCAATCCCTCAGAAACCCGTCCGATCCCACAGCCTCTATCCTCGAATCCTCACTTAAAAACCCTCACAATTACTTCCACCCAATTCCAAAAAAATGATCTTCCTACTTGTTTCGACGCTTCAACAAACTCCGGCACTTGGAACGAGGGATCATATCTCCTCAGATGTCCCTGAAGTTGGAAGATACTCGAAATTGTCTTGAAAATTCCAGGCACAATAATCAAATCGTTCCCAACCAAGGGTGGAAGAACATTCTCCGATGCTGGATCTTCCTTAGTATCAATGCTGTAACACCTCTGCAGAGGCAAACCCCCATTCACTGATCCCCCAAGAACGTTCTTCCAACAACACACATCATAACCACGAACCACTTCCCTCGGCTGTGACGCGAATACCCTACCGACTTGACGGATTCTCGTCGGTGAAAAACTCTTAGAAATATTAAAAAACATGGTATGAAACCAGGAAAAAACCTGGCATTATCCACCAGCGGTCCCGGTCCACTGCCGAAAACCGTGTGTTTTCTAACCTCAAAATCTACCCAAAAACGATATCCAAGGGGCAGTAAAAATTATTGACCCCTCAATATCTAATCTGTGAGAGACAATTGTCTCTCACAATTTTCCTAATGACGGACCACCAACCGAATTGTTCAATCTTTTAATTATTCAATTCCGGAGCAACACCCGGGAAATTTTGAATAGTACTGTTGAGTAGGTAACTAGCAACGATCGGGGTCCCTAGCAAAGAGATTGACGAAAGTAGAGGCTTCAGTATGGAAGGGATGGCGCCACGGTCAATTTAGGCCTCTGGGGCGAACTCACCGCCAGAATTTTTTGGGAATGTCTCCGCAAGTGGTGGGCTAAACTTTAATCGTTAAATTCAATTAGAGAAGATTTGCAACGACAAATAATTTTCAATCACCCAGTCTTTATTTATTCTATGTATAATCCTTGACAATAAATCAAGCAATGAAATTGTCTCACAAAAAAAAAATTTTGCACGATTTCAGTAAAATTTACAAAAAATAAAGAATTAAATCAACACAAATGAGTAAATTTAAGATATATTTAGCGTAGGTACATAAACCCTAATAGATACAGTACACGAATGTACTAGTGGCAAAATTAGATTTGTTACGAATGTGAAGGTTACAATCGTGATCGCACATTCGTTCACGCATGAAAAAATTACATTGTGATCGATAGAAAATTCTATTGGATTTTTTTAGACGTCTATTGAAAACTATATTAGTTTCAGACCAATTCCACCGATTTAAAATTCGACTTCTTTTGATTTTTTTAATAGAATATTTTCCACTGGACATTTCCATTGAAAAAAAAATGCACAAATCACCCAAAAACTAATAGAAACTTCAATAGAAATCCAACAGAATTTTCAATCATCTGTCTACACAACTTTTCTATTGAGCCATTTTCTACAATAAGTCCTCAACACGAATTTAATCTGAAAAAATCGGACAAAAAAACGTGGAAAATTTAAACCGTCGAATTTCCATAGAAAATATCTCCCTATAATAACAGAATAAGTTGCATAAAAAATGTAACTCAATTGATTTTTCCGTAGAATATTTTCCACTGAACATTTCTCTTGAAAAAGCCGCCCTATAAAGGAGAATTTTTCAGTAGAATCAACCAAAAACTAGTGGAAACTTGAATAGAAATTCAACAGAATTTTCTATCGAATTCGCTAGATTTTACATGATTAAATTTTTTCGAAGCACTGAGTGCTCCAAGAGATTCAATAATGAGATCTCTTCCCACGATTGTACCCCCCGCCGCCTTGAGCCCACCCCCCCTGTACCCTCCCGCCCCTCCCCTCCCTAT